ACAGACAGAGGAACTCTCATAATCATTCAGTAAAAATTCTCCTTCTACCCAGAAGGACAGTGGTTATAAGGGAAGGGAAGAAAAAATTCCAAGAAAAGTCAAAAGCTATGAATCATACGCTAAAACAAAAAAAATGGCACTATTAGTATATCCAATATCATTTGAATTTTAAAAGGCCAGAAAATATGTGTAGCAGTTAATCCACAGATATCTCCAATACCACCACACCCTCTCACATGAGTCAGATCCTATAAAACTCTCCCTCAAAAAAGCTTTAGGAAAGGATTAAGGCTATCGGTGTCTATGCCTCCTCTGAAAATAGCCTGCTTTTAGGACAACCCTGCCACACAAACCTTTCTCAAACACAGGAAGCATTCTTTTGCCAATGTCACCAGTGCTCTCCAAGTGAAAAAAAAAAAAAAAAAGAAAAATTGGCGACTATACTAAACATGCTCCTAGCCAACTATCAGTCAGACATGGAAAAGAGCTACTGGTAATAGCTCATTTAGTCTACCCCCCTGCCAGTGCAGGAATGTTCTCTACAATATATTTACTACAGCTTTCTAGATGGGATTGAAATGTCTGAAATGGTGAATCATCTGCTGCTTTCTTCGGAGGATTGTACCACAGCCTTAGAGGTGTCACTGTTAGGGCTCCTTGCTTGACAGTTAGTTTAATTTCCATTCACTTCATTTCAACCTTGCGCTCCCAAGCAACATCCCACTTGCCTTGCTGGCCAAGTCCAAGCCCCTAAATACAGTTGTAGACAGCCACACACAAGTGGGAAAACACAAAGAATCAGCATTTTCGTAGGAAGAAAATGTAACTTGATTAACTTTTTATTAAGATGCTAAAGAATTATGTGAAAATATTCTCATCATGTAGCAAAGAGCTACAGCAGAATATTCTCAGACATACTCTCCAAAAAACCTGTGGTACAAGCTGGAAACTTGAGAAACACACTGAAACAGAAACCATAGGACTTTAAACCTGTTCTGTTAAAAGCTGTGAGAAAGAATGGAAGCCAGTGCTAAAATACACTGCTGAAGCAAACACTTTTAACTTAGGAATTTTATGTCAAACATTGGAGATGGAGAACTGCTACAAGTCACGCGTTTGCCACCTGGCCACACAATTGATCAGAAATGTCTACTGCCACCCTGCCGCCCTTCGTTTGTTCTTCCCTAGGAAAAAGGGTGCAATGTTTCCAAGCACAGAAGAATTATTCTAGGAGGCATCCCTTCCCTTGTCCCATCCCTTCCCTTGTCCCATCCATGGGAGACCTTATAGCACCTTCCAGTACCTGAAGGGGCTACAAGGCAGCTGGGGGGGACTTTTTACAAGGGCCTGTAGTGACAGGACAAGGGGTAACGGGGTTAAATTGAAAGTGGGGAGGGTTAGATTGGATATCAGGAAGAAGTTCTTCCCGGAGAGGGGGGGGAGGCACTGGGACAGGTTGCCCAGAGAAGCCGTGGATGCCTCATCCCTGGAAGTGTCCAAGGCCAGGCTGGAAGAGGCTTGGAGCAACCTGGTCTAGTGGAAGGTGTCCCCGCCCATGGCAGGGGGGTTGGAACTGGATGGGCTTTAAGGTCCCTCCCAACCCAAACCATTCTGTGATTCTGTGATCCTATGATCCGTGGCTAGCATGTGGGTTTACTGTAACGCTCATCTAATGAAGACTGTCAGCACACTGATCCTGGCAGTGTAACATGCTGGGCTCCCTGAAACACCTGAAAACGAAGCGTTTTAATTATTTATTCAGCAGATATTTTATTCCAAACTTGGGGAGTCTGCGCAAGAGAGACTGGGAAAAAGTCCTAGAGAGAGAAGGAATACACAAGGTTGGCTTAGTCCTAAAGTTGGGGGTAGCAAAAAGAAATCACTGTCCAACAAACTGTTTGACAAATACACTCACACACATCAAAGACCTTCGGCCAGTACTGGTTCATCAGTGTATTTTGAGCTCCTACAGTAGCTTTCAGTTGGGAATCAAAAGCACTTTGTAAAGTTAAATTAATCCCCACCACACCTTCGAAAGGTGGAAAACTGTTTCCATATGTGTAAACTGACAGACAGAGGGGTCACAGAGTTAGTTACCGAGAGCGGCGGAGGAAGAGACGTTGATACTCAGCCCTGTGCTGCAAAGCTCGGGCTGCACTTCCCGGGAGAGAGCCGAATGGTCCACGTGCTGCCACCCCGACCGCGACACGGGACAACCGCACAGCCGCGGGGCCATCCACCTACCGCAGTTTCATCTTTAATCTGATCTACCTAGGGAGGAGCAGTGACTTCTGCCTCGGGAAAACGGCAGCTTTATTTGAACTGCAGGAACGGGAGGGAAGTCCGGGTGAACCAGGAGCAAGCGGTCAGGGCAATGAAGCGCCCGTGCCGACGCCAGAGTCGCCGGCACACCGCGGCCGTGCATCTGGGGACAAACCCTCCAAACTCAACCTCTTCATTATTACTCAGTTTTTAAAGAAACTCTGAGATGCCCAAAGAGGGTACTTTATGTACTGCTGTAGTACGTACAATAGACAATTCCTCTAGTTTATAAACTGGAGTGGAAGCAGTCTGACAAAAGGCAGCCTCCTTGCGTTGTATTTCTTGAGCAATCTCAGTCTGCTAATAAACTGCAAGGGAGAATTTATCACAGTCAACTTCTAAAAAAAAAATAATCTTTTGTTGGAGAATACTTTCTGGAAAACATGGCTTAGTAGGCACTTTACTTATGTGACCAGACCATCCTTCCAATAACTTCAATAATATTTAATTACAATTTCAATTCTTTTAAGGTATCCTTCCTTGCAAAATAAGAACTTGGATAGCCATCCTCTCAAAGTGACCTGCACAAAACTAGAGGCAAGAGAGATCAGATGTATGGGTCTACTGGGAAACGGTGAGTTTCGGGGCAGATTTCCCCTTGCCTTACCCACACATCCACATAAGCCCCCCAAACCATTCTGTGAAGATAGTTATGATGAATCACAGATAGTTTTGCGGTTTCTTGCAGACAATTGGTGGCTTATGAAAGTGCGAAGATCAAAAAGAAGGAAACTACTTCAATCAGACAGTCATCACCATATTGTAAAGAGTTTGCATGCAGCTTAAGTGTGGTAGTTTTTGTTGCCTTTACTACCTAGCACACCTCCTCTGCAATTTCTTTCGTAGAAATGGCCAACAAAACTGCCATTTCACAGTTGCCATTCATCAATTACTTAGTTTGCATAACAAATGAAGGCCAAATGATGCCGGACCTAATTTATGTAATGGTGAGCTGAGGGCAACAGCTTGGTCGTTACAGAAAGTATGCTCAGTTAGAGGAGTTTTTTCCAGTACATTAAAACACCCTGCAGAGTCAGAGCACCAGTTGCCATTTTTGTATCCCTTTCAAGATGCTGTAGATCGTGGGCAGGCAGGGATGGTGGGCTTCTGTCCTACCACCACTATTTTATCTCCGTTTACCCGCATGAGATCTAAACCTTTAGCATTGTGTGAAATGTCTTGGCAGCTAAGGGATTTCCATTTTAAGAACTCTGTAGCTTACAGGGCACAACACGTTCGTATTTTGAGTAACTACAACACCAACGGCACAAGAAAGTGGCTTAAATCATGCTACTTGGGCAATAATCATAGAATCATAGAATGGTTTGGGTTGGAAGGGACCTTAAAGACCATCTAGTTCCAACCCCCCTGCCATGGGCAGGGACACCTTGCACTAGACCAGGTTGCTCAAAGCCACATCCAGCCTGGCCTTGAAGACAGCCAGGGATGGGGCATCCACAACATAATGAAGTATCCCCGCAGCTGCTGGCACTGCTAGAACCTGGGAGGCGTTGCAAACCTCGGTGGGGATAAGCCACCAGCCCCCGCAGCTACCTTCAGCCGCTTTGCTGTTAAACGCACTTAGAGCTGTTCCAAGTAGCACAGAGTTGGGAATGGTTCTGGAGCTGGCCTGTGCTCCACACACGGGATCCGTACGGCTGCAGTGCTTTCACTCCAGCCATGCAGCGTGGCTGGGAGAAAAAACAAGCACCCGTTACTGCAGTGTACAACTCGACAGCAAGCTAGACCCGCTTCACACAGGTATCGAGCGAGGAGTGAAAGGAGAATGGTTCACATCAATGACTGCCTCAAAAATTACTCTTAATTACTGTCAGATCCACAACAAATAGATATTGCACATTTTATGTTTAACAAAGCTTTTAACCACCAGACCACCCGCCTTTCAGGAGACTGCTGTA